CTTATTCTTCATAGGAAGTTTGTCCCAATGCACTGCATGGATATGGGTTAGAGCTTGTGTTTCAAAGCCAGATGGTCCTGGGTTTGATTCCACCTCCAGGCCTTTCCTGTGTGTGGTTTGGTAGTTTGCATTCTACCTATGTCTGCTCCGGTTTCCTCCGGGTGCTCCGGTTTCCCCTGAATGTAATGAGTGAGTGAATGGACGGAGTCTTGCATCCGTCATCTCCGTTTGTAGAGAATAGAAAAAGACTGTAATCTGTGAAATGTGACATAAATGAAATACTTAGTTACTTATTACCCTTTAGTTATGTGCAAAGTACTGGGGATTGCTTAATAAACAAAAGCAATCAATGTACTATTAAAAAATGAACAAAAGTTACAGCCATAGAAGTATTTATTGCCACCGTCTCATATTTTAGAATAACAGCATTTTGTTGAGAAGCTAGCTGGCGTGTGTGCGACACAGAACCGCAACATGGCCCTCTGATCCCTGGCAGCCACGACGCTATAATGGGGTGATTTTATGATGACTTAGAATTTATACTCATTGGACAAAACAGTTTTCAATACAAGCAATTACCCTTTAAAAGCCTGCTCGGACATTTACTCGGCTTCTCGAATGGCACGACTGCAGGCAGTAAAGAGAGCCAGCCTATGAAGTCGGCTGTGGGTGAGATAAATGCTCACGAGGGTTTCAGTTACCTTTGAAGCAGCAGCTAATCACGGCTCCGCAGAGGACCGGGCTCCGCGGCTGCACATGGTTAACCGGAGGACGCACTGTGGGCTCGCACTGTGGGCTGGCCCTGGTCCACGGGGCAGGCTGGCACCGAGGCCAGAAAGCACAAAGACGGGATGTGTTAAAGTTGAAAATCAAAAAAGATCGACTCTGGAGCTGTCTCAAAAGTCCAACTCAAAATGCCGCAATTACAGCATCGATACTCACTTTTCTTCTCTTAGATCTGACCCAGCAAAGTCTGTACAATGCTATAAGATGTACTTTTGACTTTGTTGGTTCAATTTCAATTCAAATGTTTTTTGGTTAAGCACTAAATCACAACAGTAGTTATCTTGGAGGACGGTATCTTTTAGCAGTGATGGGCGAGCTACTTGATTTGTGTTGTGAGCTAAGCTACAAGCTACAAGCTACTCTACAATAAATTCAGCTTCACTGCACAGAAGCTACCACCAGAAAAATGTAGCAAGCTAAGTTTACAAAATCCTGTTAAAAGTAGCTTGATGTACAGTATAGAAGCTACTTTCAAATAACTCTTTAAGGATCACCTAATTTCACCGGTTCCTTCTCGAATTATGAACCCAAATGGAAACGCTTACTGTGTGGACATCTGTGTCTGATGTTGTGTTATACTTTTGAGGCCCATTTGAAAGGTAACACACACAAGTGAATTCTAATCCTGATGCTGTTAAATTAAAAATATTTGAATCTGTGCGTGTGTGTGTATGTGTGAGAGTGTGTGTGTACGTGTATGTGTGTGTGAGAGTGTGTGTGTATGTGTGTGTGTGAGAGTGTGTGTGTATGTGTATGTGTGTGTGTGTGTGTGAAAGTGTGTGTGTGTATGTGTGTGTGTATGTGTGAGAGTGTATGTGTATGTGTATGTGTGTGTGTATGTGTACGTGTGTGTGTGAGAGTGTGTGTGTATGTGTGTGTGTGTGTGTGTATGTGTGAGAGTGTATGTGTATGTGTATGTGTGTGTGTATGTGTGAGAGTGTGAGTGTATGTGTATGTGTGTGTGTGAGAGTGTGTGTGTATGTATGTGCGTGTGTATGTGTGAGCGTGTGTATGTGTGTGCGTGTGTATGTGTGTGTGTGTGTGTGCGTGTGTGTGCGTGTATGTGTGCGTGTGTATGTGTGTGTGTGTATGTGCGTGTGTGTGTGTATGTGCGTGTGTGTATATTGTCACCAAGGCATTCTGAACTCTAAATGTGTTTGTGTTACGGCTGCGGAAATGCTGTAATGAAAGTCGGAAATGTCATTGAGAAAATATCTTTGAAGGAAACTACTCGATCAATGAAAAAGCTTCACTACAGAAAAGTTACTTGGTTTTTAAAATAGTGACGCTTCTGTCATGCTCCTGAAAATGTAGTTAGATCCAGGACTGAGGCTGCAGATCCAGGACTGAGGCTGTAAATCCAGGGCTGAGGCTGTAGATCCAGGACTGAGGGTGTAGATCCAGGACTGAGGCTGCAGATCCAGGACTGAGGCTGTAAATCCAGGGCTGAGGCTGTAGATCCAGGACTGAGGGTGTAGATCCAGGACTGAGGCTGTAGATCCAGGACTAAGGCTGTAGATCCAGGACTGAGGCTGCAGATCCAGGACTGAGGCTGTAGACCCAGGACTGAGGCTGTAGATCCAGGACTGAGGCTGTAGATCCAGGACTGAGGCTGTAGACGCAGGACTGAGGCTGTAGATCCAGGACTGAGGCTGTAGATCCAGGACTGAGGCTGTAGATCCAGGACTGAGGCTGTAGATCCAGGACTGAGGCTGTAGAACAGGACTGAGGCTGTAGACCCAAGACTGAGGCTGTAGACCCAGGACTGAGGCTGTAGATCCAGGACTGAGGCTGTAGATCCAGGACTGAGGCTGTAGACGCAGGACTGAGGCTGTAGATCCAGGACTGAGGCTGTAGATCCAGGACTGAGGCTGTAGATCCAGGACTGAGGCTGTAGATCCAGGACTGAGGCTGTAGAACAGGACTGAGGCTGTAGACCCAAGACTGAGGCTGTAGACCCAGGACTGAGGCTGTAGACCCAGGACTGAGGCTGTAGACCCAGGAATGAGGCTGTAGATCCAGGACTGAGGCTGTAGATCCAGGACTGAGGCTGTAGATCCAGGACTGAGGCTGTAGATCCAGGACTGAGGCTGTAGATCCAGGACTGAGGCTGCAGATCCAGGACTGAGGCTGTAGACCCAGGACTGAGGATGTAGACCCAGGACTGAGGCTGTAGACCCAGGACCCAGGCCTTAAAACGATAAAAAGATAAAGATCATGTCTTGGCTTTCTCTTCGGTCACTCAGATTCACGTTTGTTTGGAAACCACACAAAGCCCAGCTGAGGAAACTTCTCGGAGATGTATTTTCCTGACCCCATTAGGATCCATCACGAGACCACAGCCAGTGATAAGACCACAGACTCCCTCGGTGCAGAGATGCTATCTGCCACAACATTCAAACACACGGTCCCTGTTTAACCGGGGCCCGCTGGTGTCAAAGAGCCCCTTGTGGACCCTCGGGCATCATTAGAAGGATTTTAATGATAGTCTGCCCTGATCTCTGACCTGGTCCCATAACAAAGAATACAGCCATTGTGAAAAAGCAACCCCCTCCCCAACTTAGATAGATACTTTAATGATCTCCCGATGAGAAATACACATGTCCAGCAGCAGAAAGATATCCAAAGAAACATAAACGTACATCAATAATAAAGGTTTCTAATTAACTACACTGCAAAAAATGATCCAGACCAGAGCAGAGAGGATTCATGGTTTTACATTGGTCCAGACCAGAACAGAGAGGATTCATGGTTTCACACTGGTCCAGACCAGAGCAGAGAGGATTCATGGTTTCACACTGGTCCAGACCAGAGCAGAGAGGATTCATGGTTTCACACTGGTACAAATGCTAACTTTAATCTATCTATGTTTTCTCCTCATGCATGAACTTTGTTCTTTGCTGCTATAACACTTAAATCTCTTGATGCAGAGAGAGGGAAAAACAAAACAAGATGTAGAACACAGAAGAGATACGTCAGACATGTCCAAACTCAGGCCCGCGGGCCAATTGCGGTCCTCTGACATTTTATGCGGCCCTCTGCTCCTGCAGAGGCACTGAGGCACTTCAGCTTCACCAGTACAGTCATGTTATACCTTATTGTAAATCTCGCACCCTCTGGAATCCAGTCATTAACTCTATTGTTACCTCTGTGTGGAGCATGAAGATAGAATTTGAACAATGTCACACACGTTTTTGCATCTAGCATCGAACTAGATACTACAGAAACCACTTTAATAAGACCATTCACGTGCTTCAGTATCTAGTTCACATTTGTGTTGGAGCTGTTTTAGTCGACTGGTTTGACGGCGACAATCGTGTGTGTACTTTTAAAGCTTGTTTTTTCCTGTTCTTCTTTTAGTTTGTTTTATTTATGTACTTGTCTGGTGCACACTGGGGACTTTGTGCATGTATTCCAATGTGGTTTTACTGCAAATGGCGTAAAAACTGTTTCTAAATCTGTAATAAATAGTCACGGGGAGGGACGTGATCTTTGTCGCGCTCCTGATGTGTGCGTCTGCAACGTCAGCGCGTGTCATGAAGAGGACCCTGCACGCTCCTGGATCAGCGCGCACACGTACACACACACACACACACACAGAGGAACCTCCATCTGCACGCACACACACACACAGAGGAACCTCCATCTGCACACACACACACACACACAGAGGAACCTCCATCTGCACACACACACACACACACACACACACACAAAGGAGCCTCCATCTGCACACACACACACACACAGAGGAGCCTCCATCTGCACACACACACACACACAAACCTCCATCTGCACACACACACACAGAGGAGCCTCCATCTGCGCACACACACACACACACACACACACACACACACAGGAGCCTCCATCTGCGCGCGCACACACACACACACACACACACAGAGGAGCCTCCATCTGCGCGCACACACACACACACACACAGAGGAGCCTCCATCTGCACACACACACTCACAGAAAGGGAGAGAAGGAGAGAGAGAGAGAGAGAGAGAGAGAGAGAGAGAGAAAGAGAGAGAGCCGGGATCTTCACACACGCACACACGCACACACACACACACACACACACGCACGCACAGAGAGAGAGAGAGCTTGCAGCGTGGAGCGTGCAGACGGTTCAGACGCGGACCACCTCCACACCACAGTCTGTTCCGTGAAACCTCAGGGTCTCCGGGTGCATGGACCTGCTCTGAGCCATGGCGCACGGGCTTCTGGGTGTCGTGCGTGTGTTGGTGATTGCGGAGTGTCTTTGGAGTAACGTCGGGGCCACTTCACTTCAGGAGGAGAGTAAACCGCGTCCGAGACCAGACGTGGTTTCTGTGAACATGATGAAAGTGTATGAGAGGTACAGCAAGGACCCGCTCAGCCACAGCCAACGGGACGGCAACACGGTGAGGAGCTACCGAGCCGTGCCAGGTAAGACCCAACCGTGCGTACTGGCCTTTCAGAAGGAAGACTTTTTAGTTCATAACAGACTAATACTTAATCATACGGAATATACACTGTTTAAATTTTTGTTTTTTTATACATAATTATTAAGGCAACTTGTAGCTCGGTAGCCTTTCAGTAGCTCGCCAAAGAATTTAGAAATGAGCAAATTAAATAATAAACTAATAAACAATATTTCAGATTGTGTAATTCATTATCATTTAGTATTATAGTATATTCTCTCACTTTGTAGCACTAGTAACACATTTGTGATGATAAATATTGACCTTACACAAAATCAGGCTCATTCACACCAACATACACATAATGCAATCCCAGGGCTGCATAAAGGAGTAGCTCTCCGCCTTTATCGTCCCGAACAGTAGCTCTCTGGGTGAAAACGCTTGTAAACACCTGGTTTAAGGACAATGTGGTGACAGATGGTCCAGGACACTCCACATCTACCAGCATTTATACACGTTTATTAACATTATTATGAACATCGGTCTCTGCCCCTTATGGACCAATGGCTCTGTGTGTTTTTGATCATTGCATTTTGATTTTCTGATCTGTTGTTGGCGAATCAACCGCTCTGAAAAGTGCTCCGAGATAACTACGGCTGTGATTTAGGGCGATACAAAATTAAACTGTATTGAATTGAATTGAAATTGAATTTATTTGCGACCTCATCCACACACAAGGTACAAACAACTGCAGTTTATACGCGATAATGAAGACTTTACGGTCAAACAAAGACTATACTTTGCTACATATTATTTTAAGTGTGGCACCAGGTTAGTAATCCAGCTCCAACTTTGGAGAAATTATATTTACTTGCTGCTCTATAGTTAAGAAGCATCGCAGCTAATTGAATTGAATGTTGTGAAAAATACGCTGGTTTCGAATATTCCTTCCTCCATAAACACTTGCTGACCTGACGTGGAATAATAATTAAAGTAAATATTTAAGAGCACTTTTCAAAAACAGTGATTACAAAGCACTGCACTGTCAACATTAAGCGAGACCAGAGAGAGACCAGAGAGAGACAAGAGAAAGAGACCAGAGAGAGACCAGAGAGAGACCAGAGAGAGACCAGAGAGAGACCAGAGAGAGACCAGAGAGAGAGACCAGAGAGAGACCAGAGAGAGACCAGAGCGAGAGACCAGAGAGGGACAAGACCAGAGAGAGACCAGAGAGAGAGACCAGAGAGAGACCAGAGAGAGACCAGAGAGAGACCAGAGAGAGAGACCAGAGAGAGACCAGAGAGAGACCAGAGCGAGAGACCAGAGAGGGACAAGACCAGAGAGAGACCAGAGAGAGACCAGAGAGAGACCGGAGAGAGACAAGAGAAAGAGACCAGAGAGAGACCAGAGAGAGAGACCAGAGAGAGACCAGAGAGAGACCAGAGAGAGACCAGAGAGAGAGACCAGAGAGAGACCAGAGAGAGACCAGAGAGGGACAAGACCAGAGAGAGACCAGAGAGAGACCAGAGCGAGAGACCAGAGAGGGACAAGACCAGAGAGAGACCAGAGAGAGACCAGAGACCAGAGAGAGACCAGAGAGAGACCAGAAAGAGAGACCAGAGAGAGAGACCAGAGAGAGACCAGAGAGAGAGAGACCAGAGAGAGACCAGAGAGAGAGACCAGAGAGGGACAAGACCAGAGAGAGACCAGAGAGAGACCAGAGACCAGAGAGAGAGACCAGAGAGAGACCAGAGAGAGACCAGAGAGAGAGACCAGAGAGAGACCAGAGAGAGAGACCAGAGAGAGACCAGAGAGAGAGACCAGAGAGAGACCAGAGAGAGACCAGAGAGAGACCAGAGAGAGAGACCAGAGAGAGACCAGAGAGAGACCAGAGAGAGACCAGAGAGAGACCAGAGAGAGAGACCAGAGAGAGACCAGAGAGAGAGAGACCAGAGAGAGACCAGAGAGAGAGACCAGAGAGGGACAAGACCAGAGAGAGACCAGAGAGAGACCAGAGACCAGAGAGAGAGACCAGAGAGAGACCAGAGAGAGACCAGAGAGAGAGACCAGAGAGAGAGACCAGAGAGAGACCACAGAGAGAGAGACCAGAGAGAGACCAGAGAGAGACCAGAGACCAGAGAGAGAGACCAGAGAGAGACCAGAGAGAGACCAGAGAGAGAGACCAGAGAGAGACCAGAGAGAGAGACCAGAGAGAGACCAGAGAGAGACCAGAGAGAGACCAGAGAGAGAGACCAGAGAGAGACCAGAGAGAGTGATCAGCGAGAGACAAGAGAGAGACCAGAGAGAGACCAGAGAGAGAGACCAGAGAGAGACCAGAGAGAGACCAGAGAGAGAGACCAGAGAGAGAGACCAGAGAGAGACCAGAGAGAGAGACCAGAGAGAGACCAGAGAGAGACCAGAGAGAGAGACCAGAGAGAGACCAGAGAGAGACCAGAGAGAGTGATCAGCGAGAGACAAGAGAGAGAGAGTTTTTTTTAGTTATTTTAAGTGTGGTACCAGGTTTGTAATCCGGCTACTGTAATACTTGATATTGATTACAGTTATATTATATTATAGTTATATTACAGATATTTATAATTAGCAGTAAATATTTAATAGCACTTTCAAAAAACAGTGAGTACAAAGCACTGCACTGTGAATATTAAGGGATAAAAACAATAAAGACAGTCACCAAAACGGTCTTAATAATTATATACGACGATGTGAGCGTTCTGCCTGTTGTTATTGATGACTCCCATGTGTGGTTTGGAGAAGAAATGGGACAAAAACGAATCAGGACGTTTAGAAAAGCTCGTCAGTGTCTGGACTTTCTGCAGAAACGTAGAGATTTACCTCAAACTCTAAGATTCTGCTGAACTTCTACTGCTGCTCCAGTTTGATTTTGGAGAGCGGAGAGAGTGACCAGAGAGAGAGTGACCAGAGAGAGACAAGAGAGAGAGAGACCAGAGAGAGAGCAGAGAGAGACAAGAGAGAGAGACCAGAGAGAGAGCAGAGAGAGACAAGAGAGAGACCAGAAAAAATTGCTCCCTCTGGTCTCTGGAAAACCCATGTTCCAGCTTCTTCCCTCTGGCAGAAAATATTGTTGGTTGAGATGCAGGACATCTCTAACAGCTTCTCTCCACAAACTGTTCTTTGTATTGACACAGTTTGAGTCGATCGATTTCACAGACAATTGTTTCCTTGGTTTTTTAACCCGGTCTTTGCCTGGTGCACACTGGGGAACTTTGCACATGTATTCCAATGGGGTTTTACTTCTAATGGCAAATTAAAGGAGAATAAAGCAGACAGCGGAGATGACACACAACAAGAAAAACAAAACAAAGACAGTAAAACACAACATGCAGAGTTAAAACAAGTCACATCCCTGTCTCCTGTGAGAGATAGAAAAGTCCCAGATCTCGCTGTAGTTTACCAGCAGCAGTAGCAGCAGTAACAGCAGCAGCCGCAGCAGCAGTAGCAGCAGCAGCAGCAGCAGCAGTAGCAGCAGTTACAGCAGCAGCAGCAGTAGCAGCAGCAGCAGCAGCAGCAGCAGCAGCAGTAGCAGCAGTAGCAGCAGCAGCAGCAGCAGTAACAGCAGCAGCAGCAGCAGCAGCAGTAACAGCAGCAGCAGCAGCAGCAGCAGCAGCAGCAGCAGTAGCAGCAGTAACAGCAGCAGCAGCAGCAGTAGCAGCAGCAGTAGCAGCAGTAACAGCAGCAGCAGCAGCAGCAGCAGTAGCAGCAGCAGCAGTAGCAGCAGTAACAGCAGCAGCAGCAGCAGCAGCAGCAGCAGCAGCAGCAGCAGCAGCAGCAGCAGCAGCAGCAGCAGCAGCAGCAGCAGCAGCAGCAGTAACAGCAGCAGCAGCAGCAGCAGCAGCAGCAGCAGCAGTAGCAGCAGTAACAGCAGCAGCAGCAGCAGTAGCAGCAGCAGTAGCAGCAGTAACAGCAGCAGCAGCAGCAGCAGCAGTAGCAGCAGCAGCAGTAGCAGCAGTAACAGCAGCAGCAGCAGCAGCAGCAGCAGCAGCAGCAGCAGCAGCAGCAGTAGCAGCAGCAGCAGCAGCAGCAGCAGCAGCAGCAGCAGCAGTAGCAGCAGCAGCAGCAGCAGCAGTCTAGGTGTTTGACAAGAGACAGTTATCACACCCAGACACCGGCTGTGCAGAGAAAAGCCTCGGAGGAGCTCTCTCTTTGCACTAAGCACTTCCATATGCTGGACCCACTGGACAGACCCACTATTTGTCAGTCGGCCTGTGGTGGAAGTGTGGGAGACAAGGCTGGACCTGAAGATCACAGCGATACGGGATGAGGGTTCTGGTCATGCGTGAGGCAGCACTTAACCGGGCCGCGTTTAATTCTTTCCATGCTGTTGCTCGTGTCAGTCACCGGCGCGAGGAAAGATTTATTACCGTGATTCATGTCCGTCAGTTTGATTGGTGGAAAAAGTACAGAAAGGAAAAGGAAAGGGGGCAACTTGTTAATGGCTCATTTCAGAAAAGAATCCACCTCCAGGGCTTCGTATCTGTTTGTCCAAACCACAGAACGCATCTGTGCAACTCTGTCCGCTCACAGCTGCCCTTTGATACTCATATTCTTGCCTCAATTATAGGTTCATTCTTCAAACACTCGAGATGTTTTGAAGATTATTCTATGCAGGGTGTGTTTTAGCATTTTCCCCCTAAATCTCCTTAAGAATAAATGTGCTGGGGATGGTAGAGAAGTTGTACGGTTTTGGCCTTTAAGCTAGAATATACAGTGTTGTTTTACTAGCTTCTTTATTATGCTAAAGTTAGAGATTTTATACTAGCTTCTTTATAATGATAAAGCTAGAGATTTTATACTAGCTTCCGTGATGGTGTGGATTTTTTGTTGTTGGTATTTTGGTTTTATTTTGAAATAAGTTCTCTGTGGTTTGGTTCTAGTTGTACTTCCTGTCTTGTTTCCCCTGTGTTGATTGTCTGTCCCGCCCTGATGTGTTTCACCTGTGTCTCTGTACCTGTGTCTCTCTGTGTCTGTACCTGTGTGTCTGTACCTGTGTCTCTGTCTCTGTACCTGTGCGTCTCTGTGTCTATATGTACCTGTGTCTCTCTGTGTCTATATGTACCTGTGTCTCTCTGTGTCTACATGTACCTGTGTCTCTGTGTCTATATGTACCTGTGTCTCTGTCTCTGTACCTGTGTGTCTCTGTCTCTGTACCTGTGTCTCTCTGTGTCTATATGTACCTGTGTCTCTCTGTGTCTATATGTACCTGTGTCTCTCTGTGTCTACATGTACCTGTGTCTCTGTGTCTATATGTACCTGTGTCTATGTGTCTATATGTACCTGTGTCTCTGTCTCTGTACCTGTGTCTCTCTGTGTCTATATGTACCTGTGTCTCTCTGTGTCTATATGTACCTGTGTCTCTCTGTGTCTACATGTACCTGTGTCTCTGTGTCTATATGTACCTGTGTCTCTCTGTGTCTATATGTACCTGTGTCTCTGTGTCTATATGTACCTGTGTCTATGTGTCTATATGTACCTGTGTCTCTGTCTCTGTACCTGTGTCTCTCTGTGTCTATATGTACCTGTGTCTCTCTGTGTCTATATGTACCTGTGTCTCTCTGTGTCTATATGTACCTGTCTCTCTGTGTCTATATGTACCTGTGTCTCTCTGTGTCTATATGTACCTGTCTCTCTGTGTCTATATGTACCTGTCTCTCTGTGTCTATATGTACCTGTGTCTCTCTGTGTCTATATGTACCTGTGTCTCTCTGTGTCTATATGTACCTGTCTCTCTGTGTCTATATGTACCTGTGTCTCTGTGTCTATATGTACCTGTGTCTCTCTGTGTCTATATGTACCTGTGTCTCTCTGTGTCTATATGTACCTGTGTCTCTGTGTCTATATGTACCTGTGTCTCTCTGTGTCTATATGTACCTGTGTCTATATGTACCTGTGTCTCTCTTTTATTTTCGCATTCCTGCATGTTGGGTCCTTCATTCAGCTCACTTCACGACAGCTTCTTTATTTTGCTAAAGCTAGAGATGTTATTTTATTTTAGTGCCGAGTCATTGTTTACTTGTCTCCTCGTTCCTACTGTTCTGTAACTGGTGACGCAACACTGAACTTTCCCCGCTGTGGGACAAAAAGGATCTCTTTTCTCATCTGGGATTCACAAAATGCAAGACATAATATTAAAGTGATCGGGCGTTGAACTCGCTAACATCTGTGGGCTGGCGTCTTTTGACGCTAGCTAACACTAGCTAACACCTACATCATCCTTGGTCTTTAACTTTGTGACTTCTTCCGTTGTTTTTGTAGTTTTTTTCTGTCATGATTATTTCTTTAATGATCTTTTACTTTTGAACAGTGAGAAGTTTTACCTTTAACTCTTTTTCTACCGGAAAATATCAAGTGCTAGTAAACGTAGCATCATGCTGTTTCAGAAGTTAGCGTTAGGATTTCTCTGTATCTCAGTTGCAGTTATAATGACCATAATTTATATATAATTTAGCGCTAATTAAAAATGAGTAAATGTAAATATTATAAATTACTTTGTTTTAATCAATCTCGTGAAAAACGAAACAGTTTTTGGAGGGAATTTGTCAGAATCCCATTGGTTTAAAAGGGAGTTATAGTAGTTTTATAATTCTGGGTTTTCAGCCACTTGTATTGTGTATGTGGTGGGCTCCTTGTGTGCCCTGTCCTGTCTGTGCGCTGCAACATTGAAATTTCCCCACAGTGGGTTAAATACACGTTCTCTCATCTTACTTTAAATGTATATCCCAGAGCGCATACACACTTTTATACTGATTTTATATACTGATAAAAGCCTGTCTAAAATGAACCTATATGACAAATCAAGATACCTAATTATTTTTGCTTTTTTTTGACAGTAACGGATCAAGGCAAAGAATTCTTCCAGTTCAATCTCTCCTCCATCCCGGACTCGGAGCTCATTCTCCAAGCCTCTTTCCACTTCCTCCACAAGCGGCAGCTCCAGCAGCAGCGGACGTGGCGTTTGAGAAGGCCGCGACACACATCCGAACCCTCTCCTCTGCTGCTATATCCCAGAATCCTCTTCCATGGATCGTCCTCCGTCTCAGATTTCGCTACCCCACTGGGAAACATAAGTCTTGGCTCATTTAAAAAGGGATCTTGGCAAAGCAGAGACATCACTGCGGTGTTGAAGCATGCTAAGGGTATAGGGAAGCTTGTAATATCTGCAGATTTTGAGACGGGACCCGCGGAAACCAAACCCCAAGAGCGTTTTTCTTCGAGTAACGCCCCCTTCGTGTTGGTGTATGCGGACGACAAGGCCATCGACGAACCAAACAGCGTCGCTCTGTCGCTTCAGAGATACAACCCAGTCTCTGTTAGCGACGACTCCGCAGCTTCCTCCAGGATTAGAAGAGAGCTCAACCTCCACAACCTCCACATCCAAACTAACGACATCCCAGAAGTCCAGTTGAAAAGTTATAAAACCCATGAACTGTGGCACAACACGTATTTCCCCACTAAATCCAACACGGAGGTCAAACCCAGTAAAAAGGCAGGGCAGGAGAACAGCGAGAGTCTGAGCAGGCCCGAGGTTCTGAGCTTTGACGAAAGGACGATGAAGAAGGCCCGGCGGCGGCAGTGGAGCGAGCCCCGGGTCTGCTCCAGGCGGTACCTAAAGGTGGACTTTGCAGATATCGGATGGAGCGAGTGGGTCTTGGCTCCAAAGTCTTTCGATGCGTACTACTGCGCTGGCACCTGCGGATTCCCCATTCCTAAGGTGAGAGATGGTACCGATACAGATATTATACGGACATTCCACCTCCACACTGCAAAAAATGATCAAATATGAGGTGATAAATGCTTGAATTGAGTTATTTTTGTTTTAATCTGAGCACATTCTGGCTGTCTGAGAACAAGATTCACCAATGGGACAAAGCCATTTAGTCTTATTTCAAGAACTGTTGCTTTAATTTCTCATTCCGAGTAACTTTCTTTTTTGTATCTTTTTAAAACAATATTATTTTGCTTGGTCCCATTGGCAAATCTTGTTTTAAGGCAGTCAAAATGTGCTCAAATTGAGATACATTTTGCCAAATTTGAGCTATTTTTACCTTAATTTTCATCACCTCTTTCAGGGCAGGCCTTTCTGTGTCGAGTTTGGATGTTATGTCTGTGTCTGCGAAGGTTTCCTCCAGGGGCTCCGGTTTCCCCTGCCTCTAAAAACATGTTGAAAATGGTTCAGAGTGAATGAGTGTGTGTTTGTTAGTACGACTATGGGACAAAGGCTACAAAACGGAGAATTGTAGCCTTGTTGGGGAATGAATAATTGTCAAAAAGAGGGGATTTACTTCAGTATGGCTGTTGTTGGTAGAATATTTTACGGGTCAGACAAAAACATTGTCTTTTTCGAGCAGAGAGCTACTCCTTTAGCAGCTGTACTATAATTGTAGCCTATAATAACTACAGCCAATGACTGAGAACACACATGTATAACACAGCATTCTTCTGTACAGTCTCCCTGCATTAAAAATATGTATTGTTAAATTGATTTTATGACTCAAAAGTTATCATTTGGGATCATATGTTGAATTCTTGAATCCTTTGGGGAGCTACCTAAAAGCAGGTGGTACAGGTAGCTCCAGAGCCACAGGTTAAGAGACCCTTGGAATACTGTATATATTTTTGTACACACAAGTTTGTTTGTTTTTCATCAAAATGTTACTCTACAAAATATGAGTAATAACATTTTCTTGTCAATAATTCAGATAAAATACTACAATCACATGCCAACAACTTTAAGCTACGAAAAATCTCTTTGTAAAGACTGTTTCTGGTCCTGTGGAAATAATAATAATAATTTTAATAATAATCTGTGTCTTTCTTCTGCAGGTTGTGCGTCCGTCCAATCACGCCACCATCCAGAGCATTGTCCGGGCCGTGGGGATCATCCCTGGCGTCCCGGAGCCGTGCTGTGTCCCAGAGAAAATGAGTCCTCTGAGCGTCCTCTTCCTGGACCCAAACCTAGACCTGGTTCTCAAAGTCTACCCGGGCATGTCAGTGGATACCTGCGCCTGTAGGTAGAGCTGGGCCTACAATAACAACAGACACACCAGGATAAAAGCACCAGCGGAACCCAACCAGGATAAAGACCTTTGGATGTGGGTTCTTTTCTCGGACATTCCCTGCGGTGACTCCAGCACCGGTGCCAGCTGTTCACGGTTTTGTTTAATTCAGACTGCACTTAGAAAACACTGAGAATGAAATAATCCGAAAGTCTCTGAACAGATTAGGTGGATGCAGCACACTTAAATACGCTTCTTAAAGGTGCAGTAAGTGATGTTGTTAGCTTAGCCGTTAGCATCAACTGGAAACCACTCCCCCCTCCCCTCCCTCTCCACCAAACCAAACATCCAGCATTTTCTTTTCTTAGTCACAACAGGGAGAGTGGGCGGCAAACATGAAATTGGCATTTTGTGTTCAGTCATTTTAGGTTTTCAAAAATCAGATAACTCTGGAGACTATAGGCATCTGGTCAATTCCATTACTATTTGAAAACACATGATAGCTTGATACTTTTAGGGTTTAGGGACGTTTCCCACAATATAAAAAAAAAAATCATCCTTTTGTCCTTACTTCACTCTGGGAAATGTGTCTGTTTTTCTCTTCTGCTCGTTTGATTTGTATGTTTCATCCTGGACATGCACCAGTTAGGAACACATTAGGAAAGTTTGTGGCGGTTAACGAGAGGAGACGAGTCAATCCAAACTCATTTGTTAATAACTTCTAAACTGTTATTGTGTATAAAGCTAGTACTTCAATGTCTACTTTGTGATTTCTGTTTTATATGTAGATATATACATTATAAATATATATATATATTCAAGCCTGTGATTACTGCATAGAGGGCATTTGGCTGTGGATTTGTGCCGTTCCTTGTACAGGTTGAGTCAGTTACTTTTGAGGCGGGGAAGTGCTGCCCCCTTGTGTCCATTAGAGGATATTGAAGATTTTAAATTAGCGTCTATACGTTTTGAATTCATTTGAGGGTTAATCATTATCCTTCATAGTACATTTATTTGTGTTTAATTATGTTTTTGTGCATAATTTGGATAAAAACACTAAAGATGAGAAACGTCTATTTAAAGTGTAGGCCTATACTGTGAATGAATGTCCATTATTATTATTATTATGTGTGAATATCTTTTCAAACTAACTTTAATTTACTTAGTTCATTCTTTTTTTCCAATTATTGATATGCACAAACGATAAGGCTGGGTTACGGATAATGGATGCAAATATTTTATTTAATAAAAGCCTAACCAAGAATTGTCTTGGTCTTATTTAAATAGGTCTGAACAAACATATTTCCTGTCTATATTGCCCTGTATTGTAAGAAGAGATTGTGTTTTCACTCGGGATTAATAATGTGTAAGTAACAATCCAACATCTCGCCAATGTAAGAACCGTGGGTGAAAAGTCACGTCGCTGGAATGTTTTGGTTTTCAATCTTTCATACTCTGAAAAGTGGAATTTATGGATAAACTATAAACATTCTAAAAATATTCCAAGAAATCATGTCAAAAATCAAAAAAGGAAAAGCAGCAAAGAGAAGAGTGACTGATGTTCGGGTCAATGACACTGAGCACACGGCATCTGGTGTTTGAGCTAAAAATACTAACCTTCAGAATAAATAAATATAAATAGTGTTAAGGATGTCAAAAATAAATTGACGTTCGGAATATATGGTTAATTCCATCTTAAGTATTTATTAAGCATGTATTAGTCCTTATTCAACTAACTACTAGCTGCCACTTTCCCACGTGGGCTAAGGCTCGGGTTAGGGATAGCGTTTTTTTATTTAGGGTTAGGTTAGCTCAAGTGTGGTCAAGTTTGGTTTAGTGTAATAGGGTTAAGGTTGGGGTTAGCTTTGGGGTATTAGCGTTAGGGTTAGCTTTGGTGTATTAGAGTTAGCTTTGGGGTATTAGGTTAGCTTTGGCGTATTAGGGTTAGGGTTAGCTTTGGTGTAGTAGGGTTAGGGTTAGTTTTGGTGTATTAGGGTTAGCTTTGGTGTATTAGAGTTAGCTTTGGGGTGTTAGGGTTAGCTTTGGTGTAGTAGGGTTAGGGTTAGCTTTGGTATATTAGAGTTAACTTTGGTGCATTAGGGTTAGCTTTGGTGTAGTAGGGTTAGGGTTAGCTTTGGTATATTAGAGTTAGCTTTGGTGCATTAGGGTTAGCTTTGGTGTAGTAGGGTTAGGGTTAGCTTTGGTATATTAGAGTTAGCTTTGGTGCATTAGGGTTAGCTTTGGTGCATTAGGGTTAGCTTTGGGGTATTAGGGTTAGCTTTGGTGTATTAGAGTTAGGGTTAGCTTTAGTGTATTAGCGTTAGGCTTAGCTTTGGTGTAGTAGCGTTAGGGTACACTAATTAACACTCAATTAGCTGTTTATTTAGTGTGGACTAATCTAAAGTGCATTTTTACATTGAAAGTTACACCATCTGTATTAATACTTTTACTCATTATATTACCAAATAACACAATGTCATTAAGATAGCACTTGATAAACTTAACAGAGTCGATCCTCAGAGAACAGTATAATTCTGCCGCAGACTCTCGCAGTGTCGCCCGGAGCTGGGAAAAGGACGCAGACCAAGATGTGTGTATCATCAGGACCCCACAGCCTGCAGTGCCTCCCTCATTATCACTGCCAGTGTTTACAAAGGCTTCATTAGCAGCTCCTCTTTAATGATAAACTGACTAGAGAGGCTTCTTTGGCAGCGATAAGAGACGATGAGCGACTATTTTAGTTTGACACTAGTCCCTCTGTTTACGTTGGGAGCATGGGAGCGGACGCCACTGTGGTCCTCGCAGTGATGCATTGTCAAACTGTGCCATAACAAAGTCAGTTTTAATGTGTTTGCAAGAAGCTAACGGCCGCTAAAGAGTGGAGGGTTCAGGAAGGTTTCTATGAAAATGTGGAGCATCCGATCATTCCTGGTTCTGTTGTGTCTAAGCCTCGTGGTTTCTGGAGGTTCCTGTAAGCCTTTCAGTGCTGATGTCCAGACAGGAGACAGCAGTGGGCTCTCGCAGCTGACCCAAGCGGACGACACTAAAAACAGGATGGCGAACCTTCTGGGGACCATGAAAGAGGACTTTCTGAGGAAACTCAACCTGTCGGACGCCCCTCAAGAGCAAAGCAAGATCAATCCCCCTCAGTTCATGATGGAGCTCTACAACAAGTACGTCTCAGATGGAGCAGTCATCCCCCAGTCTGACGTGATCCGGAGCTTCACAGTTCAAGGTACCAGTTATCATTTAATGAAAAGTATATACAGTATAGGAGGATTTTCTACTTCTGGGTGGATCATCAAGAAAGACTATTGGTCCTCCCAAATGTCAATCATTCTGGTTATATGCTCGTCAAGTTAGACCAGAGAGTTTTGTTCAAAAAAGTGGAGATGGGTTTTTTCCTATAATTTGAGAAAATCTCCTTTTTACCTCTAACTTTAAGAGATCGTTTATTCGTCCCACAGTGGGGGAAATTTCAGTGTTGCATCACAAGTTTCAGACAGTAAGAATGAGGAGCACACAGCACAGAATATATGAATATTAACTCTAGACTAAAATAAAATAAAATCTCCACCTTCCCGATCCAGAAATGATCTAATAAAGGAGATGATAATAAATGAATGAATAAATGAAAACAAAATCTCTAACTATATCTTGAAAAGAAGCAATATAAAATCTCTATCTTTAACAAAAGGAAAGAAGTCTAAAATCTCCAACTTTAGCTTGATGAAGAACCCTTAAACTACAAAACCCCTGACGTTAGCATAACAAGAAGCAAGTAAAAAACACTGTATATTTTAGTGCAATAAAGTATGTTGTATGTTTACATCTGTACATGTTAGCATCTGTACATGTTTACATCTGTACATGTTAGCATCTGTACATGTTTACATCTGTACATGTTAGCATCTGTACATGTTAGCATCTGTACATGTTTACATCTGTACATGTTAGCATCTGTACATGTTTACATCTGTACATGTTAGCATCTGTACATGTTAGCATCTGTACATGTTAGCATCTGTACATGTTAGCAGCATGAGGGTCTGCATTTTCTGACATTAGTTCAGTTTATTGCACATTCGGACATTGATTTAATGACAATAATGACCACTGCCCTTTGGCAACGCACTCTCTGCTTGTAATTCAGATGTGTAGATTACTCCGCAAGTAGATCCGGACATTCCGGAGCTAGTCACGCTCAATAAACGCAAATGCCAATCAATCAACACATTTAAATGTTAATGGGAGAATACATTATACACATACATCCTTAATACATGTGCACGGAGGTTTTCAGAAGTATCTGTTAAGATTTCATGACAAAAATACAGTTTTAATGCAAGAAAAAGTGGTCGCAAAAAATCCAGGAGTAGATTCCGGGACATTTTTAGGAACATTTGCAGAGGACGGAATTATAGATTTAGGTTCAGTTTATGTTTGGATCACTCACCGCTGATGTTCAGAATTCTGTGTTCAGTTTCCATGCAGTTCCAGAGAGTTCTAGTTTGGAAGTTGCTAGCCTAACTGTTGCTAGCCTGACTGTTACTAGCCTGACTGTTACTAGCCTAACTGTTACTAGCCTAACTGTTACTAGCCTAACTGTTACTAGCCTAACTGTTACTAGCCTAACTGTTACTAGCCGAACTGTTACTAGCCTGACTGTTACTAGCCTAACTGTTACTAGCCTAACTGTTACTAGCCTAACTGTTACTAGCCTAACTGTTACTAGCCTAACTGTTACTAGCCTAACTGTTACTAGCCTAACTGTTACTAGCCTGACTGTTACTAGCCTAACTGTTACTAGCCTAACTGTTACTAGCCTGACTGTTACTCGCCTAACTGTTTTTATTTTAACTATTTTAATTTCTGTCATTAAATAAATCTTTAGGCATTCATAAACGTAACTGAAGTTTATGTTGTGCGTTCTGTTGGTACAAAGCCGTATAATAAGTGGGATAATGTTTAGTAGACAGGTCATTACCGGAAAATAAGCTTCCGCCCTGAAGGTACTCATTTTCTGATAATGACCTGCCTACTACACATTATCCCTTACGTATACAACAGCTACACGACCTCATATATATATGATTGTCATGTCTATATGTTCTGTTGGTAGATATAACACTGCGAGAGACGGACGGCACCAAAACCAAACAACAGCTGAAGTTCAACATCACCATCCCCAGCTACGAGAGGATAACAGCAGCAGAACTTCAGCTTTTCTTTCAACCACACTCGAGCTTAAATGAAGGTTGCTACGGCACGGTAAAGGTCTACGCCATGGACTCCACACAGCTGCTGGTCGGTAAGGACGTGTCTTTTACGCAAAGCAAGTGGGAAACATTTGACGTCACTGCATCCGTACAGAAGTGGATCTATTCAAACAGCGAGGTCTCTGGGTTTGACGTTGTGTTGGACTCCAAGGGTTGCACAGGTCCGGACAGAACCATAGACGCAGACAGGTGTTACAACATGAGCGTGTCTGTTAGCGATAGCAACTCTGCAGCTTTGATAGTCTTCTCCGACGATCTTGGAAGCAGAAGAAGAGAAGCGAAGAAGGAACTAAAAGAGATGATCGTTCATGAGGAAGAAAGCATCCTGCACTCAGAGCTCTCGATACAAGACGAGTTCCCCAACCAAACTCTCGAGCCTCAGCATCCAAGAAGGAGAAAGCGAAAGGCCGAGAGGGAGTACTGTCGTCGCACCTCGCTCAAAGTCAACTTTAAAGAGATCGGATGGGACAGTTGGATCGTGGCGCCTCCAGAATACGATGCGTTTGAGTGTCGAGGTTTGTGTTACCATCCTCTGACAGACGAGTCCTCCCCATCCAAGCATGCACTCATCCAAACTATAATGAACATCAAAAATCCCAAAAAGGCCAACATGGCGTGCTGTGTTCCGATCAAACTGGACCCAATCACAGTTATGTATCAGGAGAACGGGCGCCTCACCATCAGGTATCTGTACGAGGAGATGAAGGTGGCAGAGTGTGGCTGCAGATAGCTCCACACTTTCTATATTGTAATTATGTATTTTAAAGAACAGTATGGCCAGTAAATTGAGTTTCTTTGTCAATACAATGCTAGCAATGCTGTTATTGAAACATGTATAAAATTAAGATAAATAAATATTATTTTTCTATGTATTATCTTTGTGGTCCAGCTTTGTGGAGTGTGTACTGGTGGTACTTGAACTCTCTCTGGTGAACTTTGATTCTAGTTCAATAATTGATGTGATTTGTTTGCCTTTGAATTCACATTTATTTGTCTTCTTTTTAGATATGTGATATTTGGGGAGTTAAAATAAATTCTGAGATCAATTTAAAAATTATACATTTATTTGTTACTTTATGGTGTATGATTATCAAGTATGTATATCTATTACTAAAGCACTAAAATATATAACTTTACACGCACAGTTCAGCACCTGAATTGATATATCCATCCATCCATCCATCCATTTTCTTCCGCTTTATCCGTTGCCGGGTCGCGGGGGCAGCAGTCTAAGCAGAGACGCCCAGACTTCCCTATCCACACACACCTCCTCCAGCTCGTCCGGGGGGACCCCAAGGCGTTCCCAGGCCAGCTGAGAGACATAGTCCCTCCAGCGTGTCCTGGGTCTTCCCCGGGGCCTCCTCCCGGTGGGACGTGCCCGGAACACCTCCCCAGGAAGGCGTCCAGGAGGCATCCTGAACAGATGCCCGAGCCACCTCAACTGGTTCCTCTCGACGTGGAGAAGCAGCGGCTCTACTCCGAGCTCCTCCCGTGTGACTGAGCTCCTCACCCTATCGCTAAGGGAGCGCCCAGCCACTCTGCGGAGAAAGCTCATTTCGACCGCTTGTATCCGCGATCTCGTTCTTTCGGTCATTACCCAAAGCTCATGACCATAGGTGAGGGTGGGAACGAAGATTGACCGGTAAATCGAGAGCTTCGCCTTTCGGCTCAGCTCCCTCTTTACCACAACGGTCCGATACAGAGACCGCATCACTGCGCACGCTGCACCGATCCGCCTGTCAATCTCACGCTCCATTCTTCCCTCACTCGTGAACAAGACCCCGAGATACTTGAACTCCTCCACTTGAGGAAGGACCTCTCCACCCACCTGGAGAGGTCAAGGCACCTTTTTCCGGTCGAGCACCATGGCCTCGGATTTGGAGGTGCTGATTCTCATCCCAGCCGCTTCGCACTCGGCTGCAAACCGTCCCAGTGCATGCTGCAGGTCCTGGTTCGTTGGAGCCAACAGGACGACATCATCCGCAAAAAGTAGAGATGAAATCCTGTGGTTCCCGAACCGGACCCCCTCCGGCCCCTGGCTGCGCCTAGAAATTCTGTCCATAAATACAGTGAACAGAACCGGTGACAAAGGGCAGCCTTGGCGGAGGCCAACATGCACCGGGAACAGGTCTGACTTACTGCCGGCAATGCGAACACAGCTCTGGCTCCGGTCATACAGGGACCAGACGGCCCTCAGCAGAGGACCCCGGACCCCGTACTCCCGGAGGACCCCCCAAAGGACACCCCGGGGAACACGGTCGAACGCCTTCTCCAAATCCACAAAGCACATGTGGACAGGTTGGGCGAACTCCCATGAACCCTCGAGTATCCGATGGAGAGTATAGAGCTGGTCCAGTGTTCCGCGACCGGGACGAAAACCACACTGCTCCTCCTGAATCCGAGATTCGACCATCGGATGTAGCCTCCTCTCCAGTACCTTGGAGTAGACCTTACCGGGGAGGCTGAGGAGTGTGATCCCACGATAATTGGAACACACCCTCCGGTCCCCCTTCTTGTAGAGAGGGACCACCACCCCGGTCTGCCACTCCATTGGCACCGCCCCCGATCGCCACGCGATGTTGCAGAGACGTGTCAGCCAAGAAAGTCCTACAACATCCAGAGACTTTAGATAGTCAGGACGGATCTCATCCACTCCCGGCGCCTTGCCACCAAGGAGGCTGCCAACCACCTTGGTGACCTCGGCCAGGGAGATGGAAGTGTCCGCCCCAACATCCTCAGCCTCTGCCTCCTGAACGGAGGACGTGACGGGGGGATTGAGGAGAACCTCAAAGTATTCCTTCCACCGCCCGACAATATCCTCAGTCGAGGTCAGCAGCCCTCCACCCGCACCATACACGGTGTTGGCAAAGAACTGCTTCCCCCTCCTGAGGCGCCGGACGGTTTGCCAGAACCTCTTCGAGGCGACCGATAGTCATGCTCCATGGACTCTCCGAACTCCTCCCAGTCCCGGGTTTTTGCCTCTGCAACAGCCCGGGCCGCGGCACGTTTGGCCTGCCGGTACTGGACAGCTGCCTCAGGAGTCCCACGAACCATCATTGCTCGATAGGACTCCTTCTTCAGCCTGACGGCATCCCTTACTGCCGGTGTCCACCACCGGGTTCGGGGATTGCCGCCGGGACCAGCACCAGAGACCTTGCGACCACAGCTACGAGCCGCCGCATTGGCGATAGAGGAAGAGAACATGGTCCACTCGGACTCGATGTCTCCCTCCTCCGCCGGGACCTGGGAGAAACTCTCCCGGAGGTGTGAGTTGAAAGTCCGTCTGACAGGGGGCTCAGCGAGACGTTCCCAGCAAACCCTCACTATACGCTTGGGTCTGCCAGGTCTGACCGGCTTCTTCCCCTGCCAGCGGATCCAACTCACGACCAGGTGATGATCGGTTGACAGCTCCGCCCCTCTCTTTACCCGAGTGTCCGAGACACGCGGTCGAAGGTCAGATGATACGACAACAAAGTCGATCATCGACCTCCGGCCTAGGGTGTCCTGGTGCCACGTGCACTGGTGGATACCCTTGTGCTCGAACATGGTGTTCGTGATGGACAGGCCGTGACTGGCACAGAAGTCCAACAACTGAACACCGCTCGGCTTCAGATCAGGGGGGCCGCTCTTCCCGATCACCCCTCTCCAAGTGTCACTGGCATTTCCCACATGGGCGTTGAAGTCCCCCAGGAGAATAACGGAGTCCCCGGGCGGTGCACTGTCCAGTACCCCTCCCAAGGACTCCAAGAAGGCCGGGTACTCTGCACTACCGTTAGGCCCGTAGGCCGTCACAACAGTGAGAGACTTGTCCCCCACCCGGAGGCGGAGGGACGCGACCCTCTCATTCACCGGGGAGAACTCCAACACGTGGCGGCTGAGATGGGGGGCAATGAGTATGGCCACCCCAGCTCGCCGCCTCTCCCCGCGGGAAACACCAGAAAAGTGGAGCGTCCAACCCCTCTCAAGGAGTTGGGTTCCAGAGCCCAAGCTGTGTGTGGAGGTGAGGCCGACTATCTCTAGTCGGTATCGCTCAACCTCCCCCACAAGCTCGGGCTCCTTCCCCCCCAGTGAGGTGACGTTCCACGTCCCAAGAGCCAGATGTTGGGTGTGTGGACTGGGTCGTCGAGGTCTCCGCCTTCGACCGCTGCCCAGTCCTCGCTGCACCACGCCACCACGGACCCCTCTGCAGGTGGTGGGCCCACAGGAGGGACTGCCCACGTCATCCCTTCGGGCTGAGCCCGGCCGGGCCCCGTGGGCTAAGGCCCGGCCACCAGGCGCTCGCTTGCGAGCCCCGACCCCAGGCCTGGCTCCAGGGTGGGGCCCCGGCTGCGCCATGCCGGGCGACGTCACGGTTTTCGTTGTCGTGCTGTCCATGGTTGGCTTCGGACTGCGCTTCGTCTGACTCGTCACTTGAGACCTGTCTGCCATGGGAGACCCTACCAGGGGCATGAAGCCCCAGACAGCATAGCTCCCAGGATCATCCGAGTGCTCAAACTCCCCCACCACGTTAAGGTGGCAGTCCAAGGGGGAGATATTGAATTGATATAACACCCCTAAAATGTATGTCCGCTTTAGTGGCAATACCTTCATTTTACCACTAGAGGGAGACAGTGCTCTTAGAACAAGTGGAGTTCTGTCTTTTCCACATCATGCATACATGCAATATACAATACATACATACAATATACAATACATACATACAATATACAATACATACATACAATATATAATACATACATACAATATATAATACATACATACAATATATAATACATACAATACATTTTGGAATCACATGTGTTGTGTTTGCCATGTGTTTAGCTTGGCTTTAAGGAACTTTAATGAGTCTAACTTCCCTTACTGACAACGTCTTGAGAAATGTAATAAATACAAGTGTAAGACTTTAATGAGCAACATGCTGTAATCTTACAGTTGGACAAAATACAGAGGCAACTTTGTCTCAAGTCAAATGAAATGTACTTTATCATATATGCTGCATTTTTTTACTCTATTATTTGTGCTGTACATATATATATATATATATATATATATATATATATATATATATATATATATATATATATATATATATATATATATATATATATATATATATATATATATATATATATATATATATCATATATATATATATACTATGTATGCTGTAATATAAACTCCTAAATATGCTGTATTTATACCTCTTACAGAATACTAATGTAAATGCTGAATGTGCCATTTTGATTCTTTACATTCTGTGATCAACAGGCAGAGTTGGAACCCGTTAATGCCCTAAAAACAATGATGACTTTGTCTGAGATAAGTGAACAATATCTAATATACTTAAATGAAATAAAATCTCTAACTATAGCATAATAAAAAAGCAAGTCTAAAATCTATAACTTAAGCATTATAATACTGTGTTGTACAATACCAATACAACGTCTGTATATGATACAGACAAACAGCAACAATTCCTAACATGGGACTCTTTCATGGATCCAAGTTCTAACCTGATCAAAAATACTTGAGTTAAAAAAAGGTGGGGTTATTTCAGTCCACAACCCTTTGTTACTACACCTACTTGGCTCTGGTTGCTTCCCCAGAAGGACTCGGGATAATGCGATTACAGGTTTATGATGGAGAAAATCCTCTTACGAGTTTGTTAACAGAAACCAAGCAGCCAAAACAGTTTCACTTCACAGGAGACCTCTGCAGAAGGAGGTTCTGCTTCCATCGCCTCTTCTGTCTTTGAAAAGTTCTCAAAATGTCCAAAGTTATTTTTTGTATAGCTTCTTTGGTAGCTTTGGGAAATGTCGTCTTTGCGCAAACCACATTTTCTTCCAGCCTCATGGTTGATATGGCAAAAATTGTCATGGACAATTACTGCTCTCCGGAGAAGTTAGTGGGAATGAAGGAGGCGATTGGATCTGCGAGCGGCAACACAGCAATCCTGAACATTCCAGATGCAGAATCCTTAGCTCGAGTCCTCAGCGCAGGAGTCCGAGGTACTGTCAGCGACCCACGCCTGGAGGTCACCTACGAGCCAAACTATGTTCCTGCAGTTCCACAGCAGATGCCTCCACTACCACCAGAGCAGCTGGTGGCAGTGCTGCAGACCTCAATCAAGCTCGACATCCTGGAAGGTAACATTGGCTACCTGAGGATTGACCACATTCTTGGCGAAGAGGTGGCTGATAAAATCGGCGCGTTACTCCTTGAGTTAGTCTGGAGTAAAATACTGCCTACCTCAGCTCTGATATTTGATTTGCGCTACACTGGCAGTGGAGACGTCTCTGGACTTCCTTACATCGTGTCATATTTTACACAAGCTGAACCCGCAGTTCACATCGACAGCATCTATGACCGTAAGTCAAACACCACCACCAAGCTCATGTCCCTGTCCACGCTGCTGGGGGAGAGATACGGGACGAGCAAACCCCTCATTATCCTCACAAGCAAAAACACAAACGGCATCGCAGAAGACGTTGCTTATTGTCTCAAGAACCTGAAGAGAGCCACCATAGTGGGCGAGAAGACGGCCGGGGGATCAGTGAAGATTGACAAGATCAAAGTTGGAGACACAGACTTTTATGTCACCGTGCCAACCGCTAAATCCATCAACCCCATCACTGGCTCCACTTGGGAGGTTGTTGGTGTTAGTCCCGATGTAGAAGTTAATGCTGAGGATGCCCTGGCTACGGCCATTAAGATTGTTCAACTTCGAGCCCAGGTCCCAGCTGTTATTGAAGGTGCAGCAGCCCTCATTGCAAACAACTATGCCTTTGAAGATGTTGGAACGGCCGTGGCAGCTAAACTGAAGGGGCTACAGGCGATTGGGGCCTTTAACATGGTTGTATCTAAGGCTGACTTGGAAACAAAATTAACTGCTGTTTTGGAATATCTCTCTGGTGGCAAGAGTCTAAAAACAACCAGTAACACTCCAGCACTGCCACCAATGGTAATTTTCTCTCTAATTTTAATACATTTTTTACATATTGTTGATGGTATTCTGTCAAAAACCTTTCTTCCTTGTGTTTTCCCACTAGAATTATTCACCTGAGATGTACATCGATCTGATTAAAGTGTCCTTCCAAACCAGTGTCTTTGAAAACAACATTGGTTATCTGCGATTTGACATGTTCGGTGACTTTGAAGAGGTGAAGGCCATCGCCCAGATTATTGTCGAACACGTTTGGAACAACGTCGTCAACACTGACGCCATGATTGTCGATCTCAGGTTGGTAATTCCATCTTTCAACTGTGGTGCGGCTTCTATTTCAGAATGAAGATCGCTAAAGACTAGAGACTAGAGACTGAAGACAAAGGGGGTGACAGTAGTTCAGTTGGTAGAGCGTTGGCGTTTGAGCCTAAAGGTCGTAGGTTCGAGCCACACAACTTTCTCCACACAACGTTTTGTCCTTGGCAAGACACTTAACCTCTGGGAACAGCAGGTGCCACAGTGGGGCGCCTGCGGCTGTAAAGTGCCAAACTGCCCTTTTGTCCTTAGGCAAGACACTTCACCCCCATTGCCTAGAATGAATCTGATGTGTGTGTGAATGGTTGGTGGTTGTGGGAGGGGCTGATGGCACAGACTGGTTGCCTCGTTTCTGTCAGTGTGCCCCAGGGCAGCTGTGGCTACAGTAGTAGTTTATCACCACCGTGTCCAAAAAAGCGCTGTATAAAACCAATGGATTATTATTAAATGACTAGAGACTAAAGACTAAAACTACAACTAAAACTACAGAACATTTATGGTCACACTTTAGTTTAGCCCTCACTAGATAAAAGCTTATTAAGTCCTAATTGACGTATAATTTATGGTAAATTAGCTCCTAATATTGATTAAGTACCTATTAGTCCTTATTATGCATGGCCTTTTCAATTACTACTGAATCTTTCCCATGGGGGTTAGGGTTAGGGATGGTCAGCGTTAGGGCTAGGGCTTGGATTAGGGTTGGGGTCCACTAATTAGCATTTATGTTAATCAGTGAGGGATCATCTAAACTGCTCCCACATCTATGTTTTAGGTCTTCTTCTATCCTTAGAATGTACAAACTTTCTGACATAACATCTGACTTTGCAGGAACAACATTGGAGGCCCTACCACCGCCATTGCAGGGTTTTGCTCTTATTTCTTTGATGGCGACAAGCAGATTGTACTGGACAAACTGTACGATCGGACCACCGGAGAAACCACAGAGCTGGTCACGCTGCCTGAACTCACCGGTAATTAATTATACATAATCTCAACCTTGCTTTCACCTGTAAACATATTTTGACATAGTAAATAATGTATATTCTATCTCTAACTACCTATCTACTTGTATACGCACTCTCCTCATTCTATCTCTATTTCTGTAATTTTTCAGGCACAAGATATGGCTCCAAAAAGAGTTTGATTATTTTGACAAGTCCAGCGACCGCAGGGGCTGGAGAGGAGTTCGTCTACATCAGTGTCTCCCAAAGTGGGGTCCGCGGCCCCCTGGTGGGCCGCGAGGGTACTGCAGGGGGGCCGCGGGAGGTCATAAAAAAAATATATATATATATATAATTATTTAATGTTAAATGTATAATGTTTTGTTTGTAATATTAAAATATTTGTGTTCATTATTTGACTTGAATAAGCCACTGTAATCATTTTTGTATTACAATGTTTGTAGCAGAGGCTATTTCCCCAAAATAAAATAACCAGAAGAGCCTATTCTTAATGTTGTCTTCTTGGTTATTATTTTGGGGGGGCCACGCAGACCCGTCAGATTTTTAAGGGGGCCTCGGTGTTACTGAGTTTGGGAATGGCTGGTCTACATCATGAAAAAACTTGGGCGCGCCATGATTGTTGGAGAGACCACCTCCGGATCGTCCCACCCAGCCAAGACCTTCCAGATCGGAGAGAGCGACTACTTCCTCAGCATCCCCACGGTGCACTCCGACACCTCCGCTGGTCCAGCCTGGGAGGGGGCCGGCATCTCCCCACACATCCCAGTCTCCGCCTCTAAGGCCCTGGACGCCGCACTGGCGATTCTCAACAAGCACATGGCTGGACAGAAATAAACACAGGCCAAGGAGTTAATTTTACACTGGCAGACAAATGATTCAGGATTTAGATTTTTGAGGAAATTAATATTGATTGATACTAGGGGTGAGAATTGGCAAAAATGTGATGATTGTGAATATTGCGATATTTGGGCCAATATTATTGCGATTCTGAACATATCGCGATACAACAGGTATTATGATTCAATTCTGCGATATATTGCGATACATGTCCCTCATATTATTTAAAGGTATGACAAAAATGGAGGAAAATAAGACTCAACTCACATTTATTATGATCTGCACATGAAGCAAACAGATAATTATATCGCGATACTTGGCTACTGTCTCGATTTGATTGCACGTGCGAAATATGGTTATACTGAAAAGAATCGATTTTCCCTCCCATTACTAAAATGATTTTGTGAAAACATGAAAGCAACACAATAGAAACAACCTTTTACCTTCACGACAACACAAAAATGATTCAAATTGAATGTAAGAATTACCCCGTTATCAAACGGCAAACAGTGTGTGTTGTGTCTATATTGTGTTTCATGTCAAACGGTGGACAATAAAAATGTTGTAACAAACTGTTTTTTTTATTTCAGACCGAAAACTTCATTCCTTTAATTTATTCATGATTAACGTTTAAGTAAGTCAAGTTTATATATTTTAAATTGTTGTGGGCCTTTGTCTCTCCACATACAGGAGGCACATGCCAGAACTAATGCACATGTTTTTAGTGGTAAGCGAAACCGGAGCACCTTGAGAAAACCCACGCAGACACGGGGAGAACATGCAAACACCACACAGAGAGCAGGTGGACTCGAACCCTGGACCAAAGTGTGGGAATTGAGTTCACATATTTACAATTCAACCAACTCTGTGTGTAAAGTTTCCAGTTCAGAGCCACATAAACGCAAACAGATTGACTATTATTTGATGTTTAGTCTATAATTAGTTGGCACTTCCCTCACACACCAGCAGGCTGTGGGGAGGAGGGAGGGCCAAAAATGGGATGTTGACCCATTTTTTGCAGCTTCTCTCCTCCTCGCACTGAAATTTGACACCTGGTCCATTTCAGGCACGTCTGTCCCCCAGGCCGCAGTTCCTCCAGCGCATTTCTGCACACGCGTTCACTTCAGACTTACTCTCAGTAAAACTCACAGTGCAGCTTGAGTGAAGGGATTATTTTTAGCGTTACTGGTCCCAGGATTAGCCTCGTCTGCATGACTTTGGAACCTCTGTCTATTCCCCCACGTTAGGCTGATGTGGGCAGAGACCTGGCTCACACAGGCAGCATCTTTTGTCTTCATCCGCTGAGGAGACGTTTCTTCCAGGACTTATTCCGAGACAGAGACACAGACAGAGACAGAGACACAGACAGAGACAGAGACAGAGACACAGACAGAGACACAGACGACACAGACAGAGACAGACATGAGGAGTCGTGTGTTATCGCGGGTTCCGTTCCTTTTGGCGATGCTGGGATTATTTCTGATGAGTTCTTCATCTGCAAACGCCGAGCCAGAGCTGCCCGAGGAGGAGGAAGAGGAGGAGGAGGAGGAGAGCTCATGTCAAGGAGCGTTTGACCTCTATTTCGTGCTGGATAAGTAAGTTAACAACAAAAACATTAGCATTATCTAAAGCATTCAAGATCAATACTTTATTTTTTGATCAACTCTGCTTCTTACCTGTTGACTACACATCAACTCATGCGCACGTCTGGTTGTTCGATAATAATTGTGGTGTAAGCGTGTGTTTTGGTTGAATTTGTAATTAGTCGTGTTAATTAATGGCGCCCTTTTCACTTCAAAGGGCTCCAGGTTTGCCGCTGCTGCACGCGCGCTGTCCTGTTTGCTGAATAAGCAAAAGAGCTCCCATTGACTTACATGCATTTGACTTTATTTAGTTATTTTTAGGGTTTTTTGTTGTTCAGCAGATTGATGAAAAATAACCACCAGCCTCCCGTGTATGTAGAATATCAAAATAAACTTTTATTTTATTTTCAAACCAAACTTTATGAGACGAATCAGGACCAGTTTGAAAGAGCCCCATTTAAAATGTAAATACAAAAAAAGTGTTTAATGAAATCTAAGCCACTTTATGTTATAGCACATTTAATAAACCCCCATTTTTTTTAAAAGTAATGCACACTAAAGGACTAAAACATGATTTAAAAATGACAGTAAAATATTCCAAATCAAACAGGGTACAACAAAAAACATTCAATTCAATGTATTTTTGTATTGCCCTATATCTCAACAGTAGTTTTTTTTTTTTTTCACTTTACAAAGCTGTCGATTTATCAACACAGATCAGAGAAAAACAAACGCCATTGGTCCAAAAGAGGCAGAGACCGATGTCCATAAATGTTGATTGTGGAGTGTCCTGGATCCTTAGACCCTCCTGATAGAGATGTAAATACAACAATAAAACAAGACAAAAGGACCTTCCAACTCATGCAGAATACTTGGATTTTGATTGTATTCAGTTTGGAAGTCCCTAACTCCAATTTTAAGAGATATTTCCCTCATTTTAAATTTACTTTAGAATTTTTTTCAGAACCTGAATTATGTTTAATGCAACTAACAGAGAGTAACAAACTAGGAATTTGCTTTGGCATATGACGGACGAGTACAAAAGATCGTTACTTCTCATGATTGAACCACAATCTTTCACAGAATAATAATGTCATGTTTGATCTTTGCCTAATAATAGAATATAATAATAACAACAACTCAATAAAGGCTTATTTATATTTAGTGCCACAGTGGGGCGGCTGCGGCTGTAAAGTGACAAACTGCTGTTGTGTCCTTAGGCAAGACACTTCACCCCCATTGCCTAGAATGATGGTGTGTGTGTGAATGGTTGGTGGTGGGAGGGGCCGATGGCACAGACTGGTTGCCTCGCTTCTGTCAGTGTGCCCCAGGGCAGCTGTGGCTACAGTAGTAGTTTATCATCACAGTGTTTGGAGAGAAAGAATCATGAATGTGAAGCGTCTTTGAGTCTCCAAAAAAGCGCTGTATATAAAACCAATGCAATATTATTATTATTATAATCACTAACTTTAGCATAATAAAGAAGCGAGTATAAAATCTCTAGCTTTAGCATAATAAAGAAGCTAGTATAAAATCTCTAGCTTTAGCATAATAAAGAAGCTAGTATAAAATCTCTAGCTTTAGCATAATAAAGAAGCTAGTATAAAATCTCTAGCTTTAGCATAATAAAGAAGCTAGTATAAAATCTCTAGCTTTAGCATAATAAAGAAGCTAGTATAAAATCTCTAGCTTTAGCATAATAAAGAAGCTAGAATAAAATCTCTAGCTTTTGCATAATAAAGAAGCTAGTATAAAATCTCTAGCTTTAGCATAATAAAGAAGCTAGTCACTTAATCATTTAATTGTTTGTGGACATTATAAAAACGACTGTCTACTGTAGAGACACCATAAAAAGTGCACGGATACAGCACTTGGTTTCGTCTTTTCGTCACTTTTAGCTGAGGGCGATACTCTTTCATTCATTCTCCGCCCACAGAGGAAAAATGCTGTGGTCTGAGCCCTTTTTGACATTCTGAGGCTGCATAAAATAAAAAATCTTGGGGAATGGACAAGAATGGAGGACCAGAGTCTCTCCTCGTCTTCTGCAAATTAGCTCTAGACTTTAAACCTGTTATTTTAAATGAGGACATAATTAGTGTCATGTCCACAGACGTAAATCAGCACAGAATCTGTTTACTGCATAATGAGAGCCCTCTAAACACAAAGTTAATTATAACCCAGAGTGCAACCTGTGTTTGCAGCCAGGGCATTTACCGCATTGGATCTTTAAGTCAATGGTAGGAGTTTGGGCAAAAATCTATTCTGTTCAGTATTGATATTATGACCACGCATTTAAATCAATACAGTAGAGCAAAGTATAGCGATATTTTAGTCAATAATTATCTGTTTTAATTTTGTGTTTTTCTCGGAGTTTACTCTAGAAATTTCCATCTGAGGTGTGTGTGACTCTATGACGTCTTGTTGTGACTCTATGATGTCTTGTTGTGACTCTATGACGTCTTGTTGTGACTCTATGACGTCTTGTTGTGACTCTATGACGTCTTGTTGTGACTCTATGATGTCTTGTTGTGACTCTATGACGTCTTGTTGTGACTCTATGACGTCTTGTTGTGACTCTATGACGTCTTGTTGTGACTCTATGATGTCTTGTTGTGACTCTATGATGTCTTGTTGTGACTCTATGACGTCTTGTTGTGACTCTAGAATGTCTTGTTGTGACTCTATGATGTCTTATTGTGACTCTATGATGTCTTGTTGTGACTCTATGACGTCTTGTTGTGACTCTATGACGTCTTGTTGTGACTCTATGACGTCTTGTTGTGACTCTATGACGTCTTGTTGTGACTCTATGACGTCTTGTTGTGACTCTCTGATGTCATGTTGTGACTCTAGAATGTCTTGTTGTGACTCTATGATGTCTTGTTGTGACTCTATGACGTCTTGTTGTGACTCTAGAATGTCTTGTTGTGACTCTATGATGTCTTATTGTGACTCTATGATGTCTTGTTGTGACTCTATGACGTCTTGTTGTGACTCTATGATGTCTTGTTGTGACTCTATGACGTCTTGTTGTGACTCTATGACGTCTTGTTGTGACTCTATGATGTCTTGTTGTGACTCTATGATGTCTGCTTGTTGTGACTCTATGATGTCTGCTTGTTGTGACTCTATGATGTCTTGTTGTGACTCTATGACGTCTTGTTGTGACTCTATGATGTCTTGTTGTGACTCTATGACGTCTTGTTGTGACTCTATGATGTCTTGTTGTGACTCTATGATGTCTTGTTGTGACTCTATGATGTCTTTGTTGTGACTCTATGATGTCTTGTTGTGACTCTATGACGTCTTGTTGTGACTCTATGACGTCTTGTTGTGACTCTATGACGTCTTGTTGTGACTCCATGAGGTCTTGTTGTGACTCTATTACGTCTTGTTGTGACTCTATGACGTCTT